TACTTAAACTTGGTAGTGATGATGATAATTTTTAAATTTTTCAGCAGATAATACATACGTACATACATTATAAAAATTAAAAGTTACAGAAGGGTCTCCCTCCCATCCCTGCTCACCACCATCCTGTTAACCTTCCTACAGGCAGCCACCATTACTGGTTACCATTTTCCTACATGTCTTCTCAGGAATATTCTTTGAATATAGGAGCATAATATTGGCTTTATTTTATTTAATTCTTAAATGTTAAATTTAAAGCCACAGTACTCAAGGGACATTTTACATTAAAAATGTCATTGAATTTTTTTCTCTTTTTTTTTGTTTTCACCCACTTTGTTCTTTTTGGATAACTCTTTTTCTTTATCACATGACTGCGTGCAATGCTCAGGACATTTTTGTTTGCATTATTTTTGTATTTTGGTATGGCAGAGTTTTGTAGAGTTGGAATAAAATTGGAAAGTATTCTAGTGTTGTTAATTGAAAAACCATCATATTAATAAAGGTAATATATTGTCCTTTCTTGTTTCTGTAATACACTACTGGATGGCTTTCTCTGTAATTGCAATAGGATATTTAAACACAAGAAGGATTAGTCTTTACATTTCATGTTGAACTAATTTTAAGATCTATAGGAAATCAATGCTTTTCTGAAATATTTTAACTTTTATTTACATAAAAGCTGAGGTTTCCTGTAAATATGCACCCTAAGGGTTGTTAGAATTATAAGCATTTAAGTAAATGTGCACAGCCATGTATCCAAACGGGGTTTATTTTTACGCACAATTAATTAATGTATAGTTATACCTTCTTTTGACTGCCTGTGAGCTACAATTTCACGTACTTTTTATGTATGTTTTTTTATTAAAGTCACCTCAAGAACTTAGACATCTCCTTCCCCTTTTAATTATGCAGAAATTAAGTAAGAAGTTGAGTGACCAGGTTCAGGATTGTAGAATTAAAGCCACAGCTGGGAATTCCTAACTCATACTTTTCAAGGCATTGAGTTAGATGTTATATATGAGATGAGGATTTGTGGGCATGGGATGAAGGACCTTCCAGGATAAAGAGACTATAAAGCAGTGGTCCCCATCCTTTTTGGCACTAGGGACTGGTTTCGGGGAAGACAGTTTTTCCATGGACTTGGGGGTTTGGGGAATCGTTTTAGGATGATTCAGGTACATCACATTTATTGTGCAGTCAGACCTCTCTGGTAATGATAATCTGTATTTGCAGCCGCTCCCCAGCATTAGCATCACCACCTGAGCTCCACCTCAGCTCATCAGGCATTAGATTCTCATAAGGAGCCACAACCTAGATCCCTCGCATGCATGGTTTACACTAGGGTTTGAGCTCCTGTAAGAATCTAATGCTGCTGCTGATCTGACAGGAGGCGGGACTTACGCGGTGATGTGAGCGATGGGGAGCGGCTATAAATACAGATGAAGCTTTACTCCGTAGGCCCACTGCTCACTTCCTGCTGTGCAGCCCAGTTCAGGCCATGGACCAACGGGTACCAGTCCTTGGCCCGGGGCTTGGGGAATGCAGCTATAGAGGATATGGAGAGAGACTAGAAGGTATAGGACATGTTTAAAGAACAGAAAATATTCTAATTTTATAAGCTCTATAAGGTGTATGAATGATAATATGAATTGAGAAAGGGTATTAGAGCATTTGACTTTATACATAGGTACTGTTTACCTTCTTGGATAGATACTGGAATTTATATTTTATAGACAAGGAAACTTAGTTATGTGTCTTGCCTAGGCTAGTAAGTTATAGAAGCACAATTCAAAATAGGGCTGCAGCTTTGGCTTTAAATACCGGGCTAGTGAGTAAAATTTTCATTTGACGTGTTGCAGATAGTCTTTGGTAGTTTTTGCACAATTTATTGTAATCCACAAAGCAACGTTTATAGGAAGATTAGTATGTCAGTAATGTGAACAATGGATTTGGAGGGGAAGAAGCAAAAAGGATTAGTCTTAATTGGTTGAATACTTTTATTTCTGTGTTCCTTGGTTTTATTGTGTATATATATTTTATTTTTCAGAGAATGACTAATAGTAACAGCTCCCCAAGCCTTCTAAATGACAGTGCCAAGCCATATACCGGCCATGGTAAGACCTGGTCCCTTTTGCTTGTTGTATGTGTGTATGTATGTATATTTCTGACTCCAAAAGCAATATACCCATTGTAGAAATTTTGGAAATTTTAAACAGGTGTAAAGAAGAAAATAAAATTAAGATTTAGATTCTTCTCTTTTTTCCATATGAATATTTACATTATACTTAAGGTCGCATTAAACACACTTAATCACAGGTGTTTCTGGATGACTATAAATTGAATTCCATTGTTTATTTTCATTATTTACTTAACTAATAGTTTTATACTCCAGTGGACCATGTAAGTGAATATTTTGAGTTATTTCTTTTGGATACATCTTAGAAGTTGAATTATTGTTTGAAAAATTATGAGCATTTTTGAGACTTTTGATATACAGTTTCCAGATATCTTTCTATCCTATTTTAAAAATAAATGTTCAAGTATGGTTTTTAAAAATATGTCACAGTTGAGTGTTAATACTCTGTATCAGTAAAATTATAATAATTATTAATAATGGTAAAAATAAGAATTTGCACATTGTTTATTTCCTGTGATAGACATTTTGTGTGTGTATCAAATTTTCATCACTATTTGGGAATTTCAACCTTTTGCTATAGAAAAAAAGTTACATTTTAATCTTGAATAAAATTATTAGAAACTAATTTATAGCATTATGTATGTTTAGTATTACCATAAAGTTTAAATGCTAACTTCTAAATGCTGTCAGAGGTAACATGAAAGATAAATATTACCTATTTTTAA